TCCACTCACCTCAGCCTCCCAAAGGCGCAGGATTACAGGCTGAGCCACCGAACCCAGCTCACCAGTGATCTTAATGGTTGCATAGAATGCTATTAATTATTGATTTAACCAGGTCCGGCCACGTTGAATGATGCTGCAGTAAATCATCTTGCACTTTGTTTGGGGGGCACTTGTAGGATGCAAGTTGAAGGGCTTGAAGCAGGGCAGTGGCAGGGACAGCTTTGTGCTTGAGGAAGATGCATGAGGTGTGCTTTCAGTGCTACGGGCATCCCCGTCCTGCCCTGCTCTCATCAAGGTGGGAGACTGGATAAGGTGCCCTCCCAGCTCCTGCTCCAGAGCCCTTTTTCTTTCCCATCAGCTCCTCCCTCCAGCTAGAGGGGGCCTCTGAGCACTTGCTGCACAGCAAAACAGGGAGCCCTCTGCCACCTGGCTCCCACAGCTCTGACTGGCTCCTGGTCTCCTTGGCTGTAATCATTCACCGTGACATCGGAAGTCTCTAATTTATGTAAACCCAGCTGTGTGTGATCTTTAAAAAGAGGGTTGGAAAGGAGAGTGTGAGCACTGTCCAGTCTAGAAGAGTCTGGGCCTGAAGGTCCTGAGGTCTGTGGGGCCAGCACTGAAGACACACTGAAGAGTCTGGACCTGAGGGCTTCTGAGGCCTCAAGTTAGTCTGGTGCCTTTGGTTCCCCATACAGTGGCTGGACTGAGGTCAGGAGGAACCTGCTTAGCATAGAGCCCGTGCTAACAGCCTAGGACCAGCCCTTGACCTGGAGGTGAGGAGTAAGAAAAGTGGACTGATTTTGGTCCTGGAGTTGCTGCATTTGATCTAGGGAACAGAGTGGAATCACATTACATGCACAGAATTCAGCTGTGTGCTTCAAGCAGAATAACCACCATGCAAGAAATGCCATTTGTAGCCAGGCGTGGTGACTCACGCCTGTAATCCCCATACTTTGGAAGGCGGAGGCAAGAGGATTGCCTGAGCCCACAGGTTCGAGACCAACCTGGACAACATGGCAAGACCTCGTCTCTACCATAAGTCAAAAAATTAGCTGTGCGTGGTGGCATGTGCCTGTAGTTCTACCTACTGGGAAGGCTGAAGCAGAAGGATCACCTGAGCCCAGCAGGTCAAAGCTGTGGTGGCCATGACCTTGCCACTGCACTCTAGCCTGGGTAACAGTGGAACTCCTACTCAAAAAAGGAATGCCAGCCGGGCTCGGTGGCTCAGCCTGTAATCCCGCGCCTTTGGGAGGCTGAGGTGAGTGGATTCCTGAGCCCGCGGGTTCGAGACCCGCCTGGGCAGCAAGACCTCATCTCTACAATAAATCAAAAAAAAAAAATCAGCCGGGCGTGGTAGGGCATGCCTGTAATTCCGGCTACTCGGAAGGCTGAGGCGGAAGGATGGCAGGAGCCCAGCAGGCGAGGCTGCGGTGGCCGGGAGCGGCCACTGCACTCCAGTCTGAGCGACCGAGTGAGACTCCAACTCAAAAAAAAAAATGCCATTTGTTCATTCCACTCAAAGCTGTGCCTTGGAGAGAGCATGAGATGGGCATGATAAGTCTGCTGTTTCCTCAGGTGGTTCTAAGTCTTCCAGGGCTTTCATACTGTGATTAAAGGTAACCCTAACTACCATATCAAACTTCCAAATGTGGCTGGGCGCAGTGGCTCACACCTATAATCCCAGCACTTTGGGAGGCCAAGGTGAGAGGACTGCCTGAGCCCATGGGCTCGAGACCAGCCTGGGCAACTTGGTGAGACCTCATCTCTACAATAAATCAAAAAATTAGCCAGGCATGGAGGCACATGCCTGTAGTTCCAGCTACTTGGAAGGCTGAAGTAGAAGGATCGTCTGAGCCCAGCAGGTCGAGGCTGCAGTGGCTGTGAACTTGCCACTATACTCCAGTCTGGACGACAGAGTAAGACTCCAACTCAAAAAAAAAAAAAAAAGTTCCAGATATGTAGTGGCTCAAACATATTTTACTTCAAATTCACATGAAGTCCTAGTCAAGCCCTCCCAGTTGAGCGGCAGCTCTCCTGCAAATGGTGATTCAGGGCCTCGGGCAATTCTCACTTTATGTCTCACTGTTTCCAACATGTGGTATCCCAGACTACTCTGCTTGTTGGCATCACACAGGCAGTGGGAGATGTGCATGGAGGCAAGTTATAGGAAGGAAGGGAGTTGGCACATATTCTCCCATTCCACTGACTACACCGCAGTCACATGGCCACATCTGAGTGCAAGGGAGGATGGGAAATACAAAGCTGTGGGCCTAAGGGGAAGAGGAAATTGATTTGGTAAGCAGCATCTTACAATGCTGAACATGAGTTTGCTGTTGAAAGACGTTTTTCTTTAAAAAGGGGTCCTTAAACAGATCAATTACTTTGGTATTCAACCAAAGAAAAGCCATTTGTTCCAGTGCTGGAGAAGAACAAGCTGTGTTGAACTTCATCAGAGATCACACTGTTCTGTATTACTTTACAGTCAAAAGTAAATTTGGTAACTGACTCAGAATCTAGCTCTGGTGAGAGCTGGGGTGCCACTGTGTTCCAGCAAGGCCTGTTTTCCTATCGCTGAGGTATGACTGTCTTCTCCACCATATCGGCTATGCTGGGCCCATCTTCATGCATACAATTTGGGCAGGTTCCCCTATTACCTATTGGATCTTACAATCCTGTGAGGTACATGTAATCAGGATAGGCTAGGTTGTGCTATGGTAACAAAACTCAAACCTTGGTTGTTTAATATAGCAAATATTTCTCACTCCTGCTACATATCTATTGTGGGTCAGGTGTGGCTGTACTTTATGCATTTTCTCTCTGGGATCCAGGCTGATGGAGCATCTTCTGTTAGAACATTGCTGGTCACCCTTTTGTATAGAAAAGGAAGAGTATGGTGAAGATGTCACTCCCCTTCCCATTTCACTGGCCAGAGCAAGTCACATGGCCAAAGCCTGCTCACCATTAGACATCCATGTGGAGGTAACAAATCATCAATTGAAAATGAATCCAGGCCAGGTCCGGTGGCTTGCACCTGTAATCTCAGCACTTGGGGAAGCTGAGACGAGAGGAATGCTTGAGCCCAGGAGTTCAACACCAGCCTGGGCAACATAACGAGACCTCATCTCTACAAAAAATTAAAAAATTAGCTGGGCTTGGTTGCATGCACCTGTAGTCCCAGCTACTTGGGAGGCTGAGGCAGAAGGATCACCTAAGCCCAGGAGCTCAGTGAGCCATATTCTTGCCACTGCAATCCAGCCTGGGCAACAGAGTGAGACTTCCAATTCAAAAAAAAAAAAAAAAGCTGGGCGCGGTGGCTCAAGCCTATGACCTCAGCACTTTGGGAGGCAGAGTCGAAAGGATTGCCTGAGCAACATGGCAATAAATCAAAATTAGCTGGGTGTGGTGGTCCATGCCTGCGATTCCAGCTACTTGGAAGGCTGAGGTAGAAGGATCACCTAAGCCCTGTAGGTCGAGGCTGCGGTGGTTGTGAGCGTGCCACTGTACTCCAGCCTGGGCAACAGAGTGAGACTCTGACTGAAAAAAGAAAAAAATTATATAGAGAGAAAAAGAAAAGAAAAGGAGACCAGAGCTCAGGGATGAGGTCAGGGCTAGCACAATGGATTTTGAAGTCGGTGGCATAGACATGATCTACAATCATGAAACTGCCCGAGACTGTAAGTAAGAGGTAGGAAGAAAACTAGGTTAGGTGATGTCAAGGGAGCCAGTGTCGAAGAGAGGGTGGACAACTGTGTTGAATGACAGGAGAGGCTGAATGAGAGGAGAACCTGACTACTGGATTTGGCAACAGGACATCACTGGCGATGCCCACTAGGAGCAGTTTCCACAAAGGGGTGGAGCCAAGCTAACTGGAGTGATCTGAAGAGATAATGAGAGGTAAGAAATGGAAACTGAGACCACAGAGAACTCTGGAGAAATTTGGCTGTGACAGAAAAAGAGAGATGAAGTGGGAGTTACAGGAGCCTGTGGGGTGAAGGGGAACATGTTTTCTATAAACATGGGAGAGGGCAGACATGTTGATACACTGATGATGGCTGTCCAGGAGAGAGGAAGGTGATCAGTGTAGGAGTGCAGATCTCCAGGACTTGAGAGGGGACCTTGTGGGTCGAGGAGGGAGGACAGAGGGCCCAGATGCCTACAGTTGCTAGATTTGTTGCTGGGAAGGGGAGGGCCTTCCTGTCCAATCTGCTTCTATTTTCTCAGAGAGGTGAGAGAAAGTAGGCAGGGGTGTAGGAGGCTGAGAAGAGAGGAGGTGTGAAGCGTTGTTTTGAAGGGGATCTCACACAAGATACAGAAGCATAGTCAGAGGAGTCAGGCCTCCCTTGCGATTTGCTGCCATGAGTTTAAAATGAGATCAGCCAGCTCTGTGTGGTGTTCCTCCTCCAGCCATGTGCAGCTGGTCAGGGATGGTACAGAGGAGGAGGGAGTAGTTTAAGAAGGGATGGGGCTTTTTCCACTAAGTGTTACAGAGAGAGGAAAATGAGGGAGTGTTTTGAGTGGGTGAATTACATGGACAAATCACAGAATCTAAGCTGGGCAAGACTGAAATGAAAAGAGGTAGGGGGTTATCCGTGTGAGAAAGTGGCTGAAGCCTTGATCTAGAGGAATGGTTGTTGGAAGACAGCCTGGGATGAGGTTTCAGAGTGGGTGTGGTTATTAGTAATGGCAAGAATGTTCGAGGGGTGGCCATGGGAGCAGGTGGCCAAGACAGAAGGGAGCACGCCCACCACAAACAATCTTGCCTCCTCCGGTCCCAGGGCCCTTGGCAATAAACACCATTAACATAGTAGCGCTTCATTCGTGCCAGGTACCTGATAAAGAGCTTTACGTTCATTACCAGCCAGCAAGGTGGCTCATGCCTGTAATCCCAGCACTTTGGGAAGTGAAGGTGAGAGGATTGCCTGAGCCCAGAGGTTTGAAACCAGCCTGGGCAACTTGGCAAGACCTCATCTCCATGATAAATCAAAAAATTAGCTGGGCTTGGTGACATACACCTGTGGTTCCAGTTACTTTAAAGGTTGACGAGGAAGGATCGCCAGAGCCCAGCAGGTTGAGGCCGTGGTGGCTGGAAGTGTGCCACTGCACTCCGGCCTGGGCAACAGAATGAGACTCCAACTCAAAGAAAAAAAATTAATTAGTTACCTTTCGAGGGAAGGTGGAGGAGAGTTTGGGGGGAAGGGCTGACTCATTTGCCTATTCCACAAACACTAAGCCAACACCACTGAGTGCTGTGGGCTAACCACAGACAGTCTCCGGGCTCAACAAGCTCATGCTAGGCCAGGCGTGGTGGCTCATGCCTATAATTCCAGCACGTTGGGAGGCTGAGGCAAGAGGATAGCCTGAGGCCAGAAATTTGAGACCAGCCTAGGCAACATAGGCAGACCCCTATCTCTACAAAAAAATAGCTGGGTGTGATGGTGTGCACCTGTAGTCCCAGCTACCTGGGAGGTTGAGGTGGAAGGATCACTTGAGCCCAGTTCAAGGCTGCAGTGGGCCATGATTGTACCACTGCACCACTCCTGACAGAGTAAGTCCCCCTATTTAAAAAAAAAAAAAAAAGCTTATGCTTGAGCAGATTGAGTGGAGCCTCTGACCACATAAATGCAACACAACCTGGAAAGAAAAAGGCTCATGGGGTCAGGCAACAGTGGGGGAAAAGGAATAAAACCCTAAAACAGTCATCATTATATTTGTTCTTTGCACCAACCCAGCTCAAGTAGGGGAATTGCTGGCCCATTTCACAGATGGGAAGAGATCAGAGAGGTTGAGTTGCACATTCTCTAGCCACACAGCCAGGAAGCCTAAGCTTCTCTCTCCACCCACCCTGGGATCTTTTGACTTCTCAGCAGAGACGGGGCAGGCCCGGCCCCTAAGGTTCTACTGGCCCCGAAGGCCCAGTGCACCCTGCAGCTTCCAATGGTGTACCCAGGCTGAAGGCACCTGGATCCTTCTCCAAATAAGGGTCCCTTACTGGTTGTGAGGGGACAGCATCCCTCCACTCGATGCTCCCAAAGACCCAAGGAGGTACTCTAGCTCCTACTGCCGGGCCTGGGCGTGGTCCTCCTCCCTAGCCTGACATCCCTTCTGAGAAGGGAAAAGTGCACAGGTGCAGGGCGCTGGCCTGGCGCACCAGCTGGTGCTGCTGGCTGGGGGCACTACCAGCAGGTGGCGCCAACGGGAATCTCCCAAGTAGGAAGCTGAGCTGGACCTACCACAGCTGGAGTGTTAGACTGCAGAACCACCTGGCGGCCAGCTGGGTTCCTGGAGGGTGTAGCAGTGAGATGTTGCTAGTGCAGGAGCCATTCCAGAGAGGCTGGCCGGGCAGGCCCCATCCTCTCACCTGTGGCATCATCTCCCCTACCTGGACTCCAGGAAAGCTGGCTCTGTGCAAGGCTCTGGGGCCACATTCCTACTGTGTGACTTCAGGTTAATACTCTCCCCTTTACAGATGAGAACACACTGTAGTGAATAACTCAAGATCTCAGGCACATCCTTGTCACCATTAAGCTCCCCTCTGATGCAGACTTAAGACAAGAGAAAAAGGTTTAAATGCTCAGAAACATCTAATTTGTCAGGGAGGGGTCAGCGCAGTACAGGCACCACGTGGTTGTCTCCAGGAGTTTGAGAGACGGCAGGGGACTGGAAGGGCAAGCCCTCACAGGGGCCGGGCCCACCAGTTGCCATTTTGGCTAAGGGCTGACCCTCAGCCCCCAGCCCCAGCAGCCCCAAGGCTGTGGTGAAGAGATTGATGGGTGTGGAGCCATTAGTGATGAGGGTTGACTTCAGGCCCAGGGACTGGAGCAGTTTTACCTGGAGGCAGCAAAGAAGAGGAAGGTGAGAAGAGGGGTCTGACCCTAGTTACTTCTCTCATCTCCTCGCTGTCACTCTAGGGAGCCATGCTTCAGAGCAACCCTCCTTAAACCAACTAATTTGAAATGTCACCTCCCTCTTCATCTGATCACCCTGCCTGACTTCCTTCAAAGCATTTGTCACAGGCTGATGTCCCATCTGTTTAATGTCTCCCTCTGGACTCCAGCTCACTGCTGGGTCTAGTACAGTGCCTGATGTTGATGCAGCACGACACTGTGCTTGCATGACACATGACACAGGGACCGTTCACTCACCCCTGCTCCCAACCCCTTTCCAGATGTTGTGTTTGCCTTCCTGGCCCCGAGACCAACACACCTTTCCCTCCTGCCTTCGTCCACTCTCACCTGCATCTCTGGCCCTGCCGTAGCAAGGTCCTTGATGGTGCCGGGGCCCAGGGCCTCTGTCATCTGCTTGAACTTCTTTGCCTCCACCTCAGCCAGCTGCTGGGCTCTGCTCACCTCCAGCTCCAGCTGGGCCCGGGCATAGACCAGTTCCAGCTCTCGTACTTTCTGTACCCTCTGGAGCTCAGCCTCCTGGAAGAGGAAAAATTCGTATCCTTTAAATCGTGTGGCCTCTGGGAACTGTCCAGACAGGCGCCCTAGCCAGCAAGCCTGAGGGACCTGAGGCAGAAGGCGTGGGGTTGTAAACCTGTGGTTAGTTAGGTGTGAATCCCAGCTATGCCACTGTTTAGTTGTGACTCATGGGAGCACCTTAATCTGAGGTATCTGCATCTGTAGGACAGAGATACCTGCCTTAATGAGATTTCAAGCATTAATTAAGGCCTTGCATGTAAAGCACATGCTATACCTCTGCAGACGTGACCAGAGTATGAGGATTCGGCTGTAAAACAGGCACAAGCCGGGCTCGGTGGCTCAGCCTGTAATCCCGCGCCTTTGGGAGGCTGAGGTGAGTGGACTGCCTGAGCCTGCGGGTTCGGGACCCGCCTGGGCAGCGAGACCTCATCTCTACAATAAATTAAAAAAAAAAAAAAAAAATCAGCCGGGCACGGTAGCGCATGCCTGTAATTCCGGCTACTCGGAAGGCTGAGGCGGAAGGATCACCAGAGCCCAGCAGGTCGAGGCTGCGGTGGCCGGGAGCGGCCACT